CGTATATAATACATATACAAAATGTGTGTTAATCAACTATATTATTGGTAATGGTTCTGGTCAACAGTAGGCTATTAGTAGTTATGTTTTTGAGGAGTCAAAAGTTGTATGTGGATTTTTGACTGTGCCAGGATCAGCACCCTGAAGCCCACATTCAAGGGTCAACTGTACTCGTTCTTGGGTTATACAACTACACAAAACCGGGATTGTAGATTAGGCTTCTGTCTTCTTTCTGTTCAAGTGTGGATTTCCCTTAAGAGGCACCATGGAGCATTAGAAAAGAAAATCCAGTATCCTCTAGAAAACTTGAAGATCAACCCTTACGTAGATTTTTGTTATAGTACCTGTGACGATCTGTCACCTTGTGTGATATGTCTGTCTCTCTGCGGACCGTGAGTTCTGCATCTTATTTGCATTTTATCCCCAGTTTCTAGCTTGCAGTTTTCATGTGGAAGCCTTATCACAAGTGTTTAAAGAATGAGAAAATGTGGGCCAGTTTTCTTTGTCATTCTTCCATGGGATTGTGTTTAGAAGTGTTCTTGGTGATAACCCAGTATCATTGGCAATTCTGTGAGGTTGAACAAAGATGGTATGGTTTGCTAGCCTTTGGATTGGGAATATAGTCCACCCTGCCCACTAAAGTGTGACCTTGAGAAGGCAGCTCATCTGTGGAGTCTTGATGTGTTCTTTTTAAATTGAGAGATACTTGAAGTGTCCCAAATTGATTGTTACCTACAAACCCTTAATACAGTGTTACTGAATGATTCTTAAATTTAGTTAGCAAACCCAGAAAGAACTAAGGTATGTAATGGACTCCTCTGTGGCTGCCTGGGTTCAAATTCCAGCTCTCTCAGTTAGAGTCAAGTTACATCATCTCATTGACTTCAGTTTTGGGTGCCTACCTTTTAGAGTTGTTAGCCGTTCAGAACTTTGCCTGGCGCATCAGAAGCTACGTAAGTGATTGCTACTGCTGTTGTAAAGCTCCATACTGTTGTAACATCCCGGGAAGCATATGAGTGGGAGGTGTACATGGTACTTTTTGGACTTCAACATGGATAGTAGTCAAATTCTGTAGAGGAAAGCTAAATAGTGGTATTTTTTTTAGCTAAAGAGTGAAAGTCTTAAGATGGACATGTAATGTGGCTAGCTCTCTGGATATAATAAGGAACCAGAGCAATAGGGCTGCCAAGGGGGGTTTTATTGTAACTATTCGAGCCTGCCCATCAAACTGAGAATTACCTTTTTCAGAGCACTTGGGGCGGCTGCCATGTTCTCCAGCGATGGTGCTGCTACTCCAAACATTTTTTTAAATTCCTCTCAGAATTTCTTTGAGCTTCACACAGAGCTACCCAAAGAGAATCAGTCTTATTTGTGTATTTTCAGAAATCCATTTGATCATCTATCTTAGATTTGTCAAAATAGGTGCTGAGGTTCTAAAAGCATGTTAGAAAGGAGTGTGGGAAATATTTTCATCAAGCATAGTGTTCACATTGAGCAGGTACATCAAACATCTGCTCTGTGTTCTACCACATATGTTCTTATTCAATCCTCACAACTACCCCAGCTAACCCCATTATCCATGATGCAACCACTTCAAGGAGCCCAGAGGCACCCATGGTGCAGATTTGGTCCATTGCTGTCTCCAGCTTTGTTGGAACAAGACCTGTGAATCCTCGGACAGGGAGCACCTTCACATTCACACAAAAAATCTACCTACCTGTGTTCTAGTTGCATCGCTTAGGATTTGCTTGATATTTTCTCTGAGGTAGATACCTTCTTATTTTCTTGTGCTATCACAGCCAAAAGTCAAGATAGATTTATCAATACTCTGGACCAGTGGCTCTTTTAAGAGGACCTGTTGCCATCATCCGAGGTAAAAGATTTAAAGTCGTTGGTCCTCAGTACACATAAAAACAGGACTTCATCCCTTGAACTCTCCTGAGCAGTTCATTATTAGAGTCACGTGTATTTTAAGGTCTTGTATTTAATACCTCAAACTGTTCATAATCGAGTGAGCTTTTCATGGCCAAAAGTCGTGGTTATGTATCTCCATTCGCCACGGCAAGCTGCCGGCACTCTGTGTCTCCACTCAGCGGGAAACAAGATCTAGAGCAGGCTGTGGTCTGCCTGTCCTGAAGCCGTCTGCAGAGATGGTAGTGGCAGGAGGACCCCGCGTGGTAGTCTGAGAGTGGCCCAGCTTGACTCCTTAGCTGAAGTCCACCTGGGTAACCCACATCTGGCTTAGACTGAAGCCTCTACCTGGAAGTAATCTCCTTTCGGGAACCACTGGTAAGACCCTGTGACCCTTTGGTCACTATGGTGACTTCTCACGTGGCTGATGGCCTGATAGTCTGGTTTCAAGGAAAAATCCTGGATGGGCTGTCTACACAAGGCGGTCAGAGCTGTTACAGGGCCTTCTTCATTGTCATCAATCCTATCTTTCAGATTCTTGAGACTTCTGTCTCCAGATGTGCACCCCCTTTCCCATCGTCCTCACCATCTCTGACTTTTTTCCTTTTGTGCACACCTGTACAAAAACCCTCCTGTCTTAAGTCTTTTACATGATACTCTTGCCCCTCTCACTGCATTCCTGTTTTGTTGTTTTCTCTCCTTGTCAAAGTATCTCAACGCTATTGGCTGCTTTTTCTTCACTAGGCTTTCAGTCTTTTAAATTTCTTTCTAATTAGCTTCTGTCCCAAAAACCTGTTCTCGGGATCTCATGGTTCCCTATTTGCCATCCTTCTGCACTCTGAATTCCCTGGCCTTGACTTGTGCAATTAACTCACTAATCACCAGCCCCCTCAAAAGTTCCTCTTCACTTCTGTGACGTTCTTGCCTCCTTTTCTTATCTCCACTGACTAACCCCAAACTCAGGCTCTTTGTCCTTCTCTCTGTACTCGCATTGGAGAGCTTTATCTGCTAACTATTTATTACCTTAGTCCTCACTTATTTTCCTGGTGCCATTCTAACTGCCTGTGACTGGTTTTCACTTAAACTTTCTATTGTAACCCCAAACAAACAAGTCACAAATGTTTATTTCCCTCCATAAATCTCCCCAATCTTAACTTCTCGCCATTCTCCAGTAACGTGGCTCCCATTTGTCCAATATGAAATCTTAAAAAGTCCAAGTACAGTCATTTGCACATAAGCATTTAATAAATTCTTACTAATTTTAGCTCTGCTATGAGTTAAATTAGATTGCAGTTCTCTCCACTTCATAATCTAACAATTTCAGAACTTCAAAGACATCTGAACTCATTCATTATAGGCAAAATACCTTTGGTTCCAGATAATTTTTTTATATTTCCTAATTCATTGCAGGAGGTCTTGGGTTTGCTATTTTAATTCTAGTGCTTTCAAACTTGGAATGTGATTTCTGGCATATTTTCATCAGGTTATTTATGACAGCTTTCTTCCTCAGGCTTTATTTGGTGGCTAAGGATGTTCTCTGGCTGTCATTCAGGACTACTTAATGAAAGTGGGCCTGATTAATCCATAACTTTTTTGTGCGCCTTTGAGAAATGTTCCTGCTCTGTGAGTATCTGGAAATCACAGTTTTTCCAGTTTGGTAAACCCAAGAGTAGTACCCCTCTTCTTTGTTATTTCCATTGGTCTAGCAAAACACACCTCAACCGGTCTGCTGTCCTGTAAAATGCATTTTTAAATTTACATATCCCTCAGTTAAAGCTGGTCTTGAAAGTATTTGTACACAGTACACCTAAAGTGGTACTGCATATTATTGCTAGGTCTTAAACGTTAGAAACACAAAGTGAATCCGAAATACTAAGCAAAAAAAAAAAAAAAAAAAGTAGTACAATATTGATCTTAATTTTCCCCTGGGATTTGTAAAAAGAAAAAAGCCTCACACATTTTCTAAAAGCTTTTAAAATTCTGACACTTCAAGTAACAAAATCTTGTTTTAGAATAAAGATGATTTAAGATGACTTTTATTTGTGCTGTTTGTCAGCTAGTTGACTTTTCAGGTGATGGTCATAAGACACCCCTCCACCCAATACTCACACACATATTGAGAGTTTGGGTTCCCAGCAATTGTACAGACCGCATATCCTGACCTTAATTTTAAACATTTTTAAACAAGCAGAGAGAGGTGTCTTTGATTTAACTTCCTCATCTATGTTGATGAGTCAGTACCTAGAATTTCCTTTTCAAGATTTTATTGTAAGCGATAGAGCTGAATGTGTTCTTCATAGAAAAAGTATGGAGAGCTCCAAAAAACTTTGGAGATACAGTGTAGCTATGTAATGTTTTTAGTCTTTCCTAAAGGAAAAAATGAATCAAAAAATATTAGGACAGTAAGAACCAGCATTTTTAATTTCTTGTCCACAATGCTTGGAACACTCAGTATTAAATGTGAGATTAGTCCCAAGTCCGAAGAGCAATATATATACAAGATGTTAAAGCAGTTTTTGTGGTACGGTGGTAGATTTTATTTCTCCTTTTCAAAAATGTTCAAAATGCTTCTATTTTATAATGGAGGAAACATGTTAAATTTATCTGAGCCTCCTACAATGAGTATAATAATCACAATGGTTGTGGGCAGCTTCGCTGTAGCTCAGAAAATGAGCCAATTTAAAAACCTTGGATGTATTGTGACTTTACATATTCAGAGAAAATTAAGATTATTGGTGGAAAATCCTTGAGAGTATTTTTCCTTTTTTCCTTAAAGGAACTCCAGCTTCCCATGAGTTGTTTTTTTTAATTAATCAACTACATCTGCAGCTGAGTTTGTGCCAGGCACTGTGTTGAGTGCGGCCCCTCCTGCCCCACCCTTTGCCTCCCAGTCCCTGTGCCCACGTTGACCCAGTGAGTCCAGTCCTGCCCCTCGTCTGGCCTCCAGTCACACTCCCGTGAACATGGAGACCACCGTCGTCCACGGGGATCTGGTCCTCCCCTGCCTCTCACCCCTCCTCTGCTGCTCCCCCTGGCCCCCAGCCTTGGCCATGATTCCCTCTACCCAGGTCCCCACCCACACGTGATCCTTGCCTGTCCGTCCTCCCCGACCCGCTCCCCTCGTCCGAGGCATCAACTCAAGCATCTGCGCCACAGCAGTTTCTAACTGTCCATCTACCACTCTAGCAGTTTCTAACTGTCCATCTACTACTCACCACTATCTGAAACTACCTTGTTCCTCCGTTGTCTGTCACCCCCGTGTGAAGAATTGTATTTACCAGATCACCAAGTCTTAAAATAGTACCTGACACATGACAAATGTTTTAATAAATATGAATTATTATCCCAGCCATACAGTGAAGTAGGTATATCCTCATTTTGTGAACGAAGAACCGGAATACACAAGTAACTTACTAAAAACCTCTCAGCTACTAAGTGACAAAGCTGAGACCAGAGCACAGACATGCCTGTGTCCAGAACCTTCACATGATTCTCCTGTCTCCCTCATGATATGGAAGGTTTCCAGGTGGGAGCCCGGTCACCATTTCCCGAAAACCCAGGAGGAAATAGGTTGAATTGCTGTGCCCGAGTCTTGGTTTCATCTGTACAGACACGACAAGACTTCCAGGCTCATGTGGCAGACAACCACACCTGGAGAGTTCTAGAGAAGAGGCCAGAATGGCCTCTTGTTTGTACATTGCAGCTCCGGCAGGAACCATTTACCAACACAAAACTCAGGAGACTGGCAAGCAAGTGCCCAAGAGTTGCTGTAAGTGTGGCTCATGTGAAATCCCGTAGGTGAGTTCTAGAAAAGGAAGAGAAACAATAGGGAAATCACAGCTGTAGCTTCAAAATGAAGTCAGTTCCCAAACTGAGTGAACCGTAACCTTAAATATTTTTTTGTTAAATTTTTTTGTATAACTTAGCAAATCATACCAAGTTGAGACAATTCAATAAGCTATCGTAGGTGTTCAAAAGCTGCTCACCAGCCATTACAAGATCACCGTGAGGAAAGACTGAAGAAGATAGAAGTACAAGCCCTGTTCAGGTAGTATTTCATGTCAAGAGACTAGCTGTGTTAAGATCCTTTTAGTTACTAAGTTTGTAATAAGGGAGTAAGTAATTACTTCTGTGTTTTGGGTTTCATAATTTTAAATCAGTAGTACTCTTCTTCTGGAATTCTCCAAATGATAGGAAAACCCTTGAAAGTGTAACCATTATTCCCAGGCCAGCCTTGATACCTGTCTGCATGGGTGTGTTTTGCTGCCCTCTGCTGCTCACAGTTGGTACAGCAGTGAAGGGTTCCTGAGCAGGGCTGCCCGTGGCGTTGCTAGAAAGGTGAAGAAGGACTGGGAAGAAGACAGACTGTTAGGCATTTTTCTCTCCTAAAGCAAACTACTGCTCCAGCCGATGCAACCCAACCAGCCTCTGTACCCCACCCCCCACCCCAAACGAAGCATCAAATTAAAGTGAAAAATACTGCTTTTGCTAAGATGTCAATGAAATGATTTGGATTTTTAAGTTATTTGAATGATCCTGTCAGTGGAACGATGAATGCTGTACAAGACAGCCCTGTGCGTCGTCTGTGGTGCTGGCCAAGCACCCCTCTGCTTCACCTCCAGCATGCACACACACACACACACACACACACACGTTTACTTCAGATGAACTAATCAAGTATTTTCACTCGGACATCCGTGCTATTGGTATTCGATTTTTTTTTTAAAGATTTTATCTATTTCACAGAGAGAGACAGCGAGAGAGGGAACACAAGCAGGGGGAGTGGGAGAGGGAGAAGCAGGCTTCCCGCGGGGCAGAGAACCCGATGTGGGACTCAAGGCTCACCCATTTAGTGGCTGGATAACCTTAGACAAGCCACTTAACTGGTCTCAGCCTGCTTCTGTAAAATGGGATAATAGTACTGGAGTTACTAGTTACTAATATTCAATGAATATTTATATAGCCCTCCCTGTATGTCAAGTGTCCAGCTTTTTGCCCAGTGCAAGACTCTCTTCCGTAACCCCCTCTACGGACACCTCCGCTGGGCCAGGCGCCCACTCCCATCCTTGGACAGCTCAACTATTAGACAATTCTTTCTTCAACCCAAATCAGCCTCCTCGTGGTCTGCGTCCCAGTTCTGCTCTCCAGATGATCTTAGAAAAAAATCTGCTTGCTTTCCCTTATGATAGATAGTCCATGTATTTGAAGAGACCTTCCTTTGTTGAAAGGCATCTTTTATCCAGGTTAAAGTAAAAGGTAATAATAACCACTTCAACCTACCTGGATTTTTTTTTCTAAAATATTCCCATCATTTTTTTTCCCCAAGGGAACACTGTCTTTATTAAGATGATGGGAAACACCTAGCTACTTAAAATCTTACATACTTCATTGAATAAAGTCAAGGTCCAAAATATTTGTGATTAAGGATGGAAATAATTGCCCTTTGTTCTCTCCCTCCAAAATGCATCACTTCAACAGTTATTTGCCCTCAGGCAGCATTCGCGAATGCAATTGCCCAGAAGATTGCAGGGGCGAGGCTCGCTTAAAGCGCAGCGTTCAGGGCGTCGTCCCCAGCGCTTCTGACTCTTGCTCTGGGCTGGGGCCCAGGAATCTGTATTTGGATGATGAGCGTACCCAGTGCTCCCGCATACTGCGGCATGCCCCAGGAGAGCCAGGGGTCCCACCTGAAGGCGTTGCCTGGTGCAAAGTAATGAGCCCATCTGCCCTGTTGCCTCTGGGAGCCCCTGACTCGCTGAATGGCAGGATGGCATTTACTGTACCACAGACGGCGATGCTTTGCCAGGCCCTGCGTGCTCTCCTTCTGCTTGTACGGAGATGGGGCTGCTTCACCTGCCCCTTCCTATCGTTCCTGCCCTCTTGCTGGATGCTCCAGAGGGCGGCTGAAGGCGGCGGTGCCTGACCCTTTGAGCACTTCCTGTGATCCAGGGACTCTTCTAGGCGTTTTACTTGTGTTCACTCGTGTCCTTGCCAGGGCCCCCTGCCCTATGAGAAAGGTTCTAATCGCATCGTGTTACAGCCGAAGAAATGGAGGCAGAGATCGAGAAAGCAAAGTGCCCACTGTCACCCAGCTTTCGAGATAGTAAGGCTACCCAGGATTTGGACCCGGGCAGTGTAATGCCCCAGCACCCTGACCTCTTCTGGGGCCGTCAGAGCCACCAGCCAGACATCAGTGTCCCAAAGGCACCTCAAACTCGACACGGGAACTGGTCATTTTCCTCCCTAAACCACTTTCTCCTTCAGTGTGTCCTGTCTCAGTTGGTGCGGTCACTGCCACAGGAAACTCCCTTTGTACAGGTACCCGCCCCCCCCACCTCTTACCACTCTCCTCTCAGCTCAGTTCCTGCACTTGACAAGCACAGCTGCCCCACGTGGGGGGGGGGGCGGTTACTGGCCACTGCCCACAGTGCTGGGACAGCTCTGACCCAGTGTCCTGCCAGGCTTAGTCCCTTCAAGCCCACCCTCTTGGGCCTCCTGGTCCCGTCACTCTCCCCTGCTTAAAACCTTGCTACAGTTCCCCACAGCCGGCAGGACCAAGACCCAATCCTCTACTGTTCGCCTACACCTCACCTTTGAATCTGATCTCCCACTAGTCCCGACCTTGAACTTGGACCCCCCCCCCGCCCCGGCTGAACTGCCTATTCCCTGCACAACCACACCCTTGCCACATCCCGGCCCTCGCCCCAGACGGAGGATGCCAACACCCGGCCCCTTCCTGCTGGCTGAGCGCCCAGCTTGGGGGTAGCCTTTCATTTTGATAGCATTTCAAACTTACAGAAAAGCTGCAAAATAGTACAAATTCCCTATGGCCTTAACCCTCACCCTGATCATTACTCGTTAACGTTCCGCCACATAGATCTACATACACCCACGTACACTTGCGCTGACCTGTTTGAGAGTGAATTGCAGACATGCCCCTTTGCCCCCGAACACACCGGTGTTTATGTCCTGACTACAAACACACGCTCTTACACAACCAAATGACAGTTATCCAAGTCAGGAAATGTAACCCCGATGCGAGGTTTTCTCATCCACAAGCGGCGGTCGGCTTCACGAATTGTGTCAGGGATGCTCGTAGATCATGAGTTACGTTTAGTTGTCACGTCTCCTTAATTTCTTTTAACCTGAAACCTTCCCTCAGTCTTTCTGGACTTTTAAAGCATTCTTAAGGAGTACGGGCTTTGCAGAGTGTCCCCCAGCTAGAGCTCGTGTGCTCTCTCCTTGTGAACAGATTCAGATTCTGCCTTTTTGGCAGGAACGGCACAGAAGTGACGTGGAACCTTCTCAGTGCAGTGAGTCAGGAGGCATCTGCTGCTGCTGGCTTGTCCCACTACTGCCCTGTTGGTACTGATGACTTGGGAAAGGTGGGGTCTTAGTTATTCAACCTCGGCTTTCAGGTCACCTCTTCGAAGGAAGCTTCCTTAGCCTTCCCTACTCCCCGTTCCAGGCACCCACAGTTAGGTCTGGGGTCCCTGTTCAGGGCGACTTGACTGAATCCTGGTGATGGCGTGCCTGTCCTCCGCTTTCCCCCCACCCCGCGAGCTCCGGGAGAGCAAGGACCACCTCTTGCTCCGGGTCCAGGCCTGGCGCGGTGCAGGTGCTCCACGTACTGCTGAGTGAATGAAAGGATGAGTGAAAGGATCCGGGAGCTGGTTCACTTACAAAGCAAAACCCCCCCAGCTCTGTCCACATCGGGCTTCGTGGCTTTTTATGCGTTACTCGTGGAGCATGGCTAAGTGTTTTATTTCCGTGTACGCCGGGTTCTCACCAAAAGCATGGAAGTCTCACTAAATCCCAGTCAAGAGGCACGATGTTTATCCTTCCTTTGGGGGACTCACAGGATGGATCAATTTAAGAAACCCTGAACCCCACGTTTAGATGTTCCCATTTGTTTCTTCCTGGGGGAAGGCTGGGCAGCGGGGAGATTCTCTGGGTCTCTGATCGGGTGAAATATTTGGCCTCAAACAAGCAGGAAGCATCTTGTGGGGGGGGAAGGCGGGCGCACAGCCCTGTCACCTCTGTCCGGCCCCTCGCTGCACCGCAGGGAGGGACGTGATCCCAGGGCTGTCCTGAAGCCTCTCAGGAGGTCACTCTCTCCCTTTGTTGTTTCAGACGCAGGAGGAGGGAGACGCACTGATGCTTCATCAACCTCTCCTGTCCCCGTATCCAGGGGCCAGGGCTGCGCACTCCGCCCAGGCTGCTGCAGGAAACCCCCCCGGACGTGTGGGTCCTGGAGACTGGCCATCCTTTCTGCACCGTTTTGCTCTCTGTGACACCTAGGACCGCACCAGCCCTGCTCAGCTGGATCGTCCCCCTGGCTCCCGCTAAAAAGTCACGGTCGGGAATGGCTGTGGGGCCAGGGCTTTGTGGCTTCTGACTAACAGCTCTTGGGCAATGTTTCTGGGTGGAGAGATCCTGGTAAATCGGGCCTCCCCTGCCAACAGGTAGGATGGGGGCGGGGGGACCCGCCAGCGAGGACCAGGCGAACTGTATGACCCAAGAAGCCGTAGATTACTTCAGCTCAGCTTGCTCTTTCCCCATTACATAGATGGTGACCAAGCTCAGGAGACCGGCGGCTCTGGGTGAAGGGAGCTCACCAGCCCCTGGAACAGGATGGTTGCAACACATACCTTAGCAGCTTCCAGTTTCATCTTAGGGAAATGGTCAAAGAGGAGCTGGGCCAGGAGGGGCCTCGCAGGGGGCTGGGCAACCTAGCACGTGTCAGGGCCTCCGGAGCAGGAAGCGCTGAGTGGCGCACCCCGGGAATGCAAGTCCCCAAGCCTGATCAGTGAGTGGGGTCCCTCCACCAGCCCCGAGGCCTGCTTTCCGCGTGCTGGCGCTCCTAAGCGGCTCCCCCGGGCTCTTCCATGATGCTGACACGAATTAAGTTGAATGGCATTGAGTTGAATTGGACTGAAATAAATTGAATTGAAAGGCCTACAAACAAGTATGACTCTCTTGCTGAGTGCCAGGCCCTGGGGGAATTGCAGACTCGTAATACGGTCCCGTCCACGCCAGCCCGGCCTATCGCGGTAATCCTGCGGACTTGCTGCAGGAACACCTCTGGGGCTGGGGGTGAGAAGGGGCAGGGAGGGAACGGGAGGCTCCAAGAGGAGACGCTCTTTGAGCTGAGCCTTCAAGTACAGAGTGGGGACTTTGGAGAGAAGAGGATGAAGGCAAGAAGGACGTTACACACCAGGGAGCCAAGCAGATGGTGTTTAAGGAACAGAAGAGAGAGGGCAAAGAAGCCGATGAAAGCTGTCCAGCGGAGAGAGGACACAGACATCCACGTGCACAGACAGAGTCGCACAGAGAAAATGCCTCGCAATCGCCCAGAACATCCCCCATGCCTAACGCAGAATCCCAGGGAGCTGGCCCAGGTATCTGCATTCTGAACCCAGCGCTACAAGTGAATTCAAAGTTTGAGACTCGCGGTCAGGGGGTGGGGGCTGAGCCTCTGCTAAGTGATCAGTTCCGGTGTCAAGTGGCTAATTGTCACACTTGGAGCAAGTCAGAACCCCCCGGAGGGCCCGTTAACACACGGATGGCTAACCCCAGCCCAAGATCCTGGGCCGGCAGGTCTGGGGTGGGGCCTGGGTATCTGCCTTGTTTGGCATATGTTCCCAGATGGGAGATGGGGGTGCTTCTGGACAGCCAGTCTGAGGAGAGACCCCTCTGACAGTTCTGAGAACTCAGCCAGGCTGAAGGAAGCCCACTGGCCCTTCTGAGGCTCTGAGGAGTCAAGACAGTCACGAGATTTGGAGCATTCACATTTGATCAGATGCGTCTCCTTCCTCTTTTTTTAAAAGATTTATTTATTAGAGAGAAAAAAACACGAGCAGGAGGGGCAGAGGGAGAGAGAGAGGGAATCCCAAGCAGACTCCCCAGCTAAGCACGGAGCCCGACGTGGGGCTCGATCTCATGACCTGAAATCATGACCTGAGTCGAAATCAAGAGTCAGACACTCAATAGACTTTGCCACCCAGGCGCCCTTCAGATGCGTCTTCTTATCTGTACTCCCATCCTCAGTTCCCCTGTGACAGAAACTTGCTTGGGCATGTGACAGACACCCCGGCCTCACTGATCCGAGGGTGGGTGAGCCTGAGCAGCTCGACGGTCCCAGCGGGGCATTCTGGGGTCTGGCGCTCAGGGCCATGCCGTCACCCAAGCTGGCCCTGCGGAGGCCTGCGGCTCTGAGGCCACCTGGAAGCATTTCCAGGGACCCATGGGATGCCTAGATTCCTACGGCCAGAAGTGGTTCAAGTTTCCCCAAGGTCACAGGTAAAATCCCCAGGTGCCCCTTGGAAGGGCTGTCAGGAGCAACTGTGTCAAACCGCTTCCTGTCAGAGATGCCAGATGCCTTATTCAAGGCCACATAGCTCGGGTGATGAGCTTGTCCTTCCGACCTCACTGTCCCCCACAGGGCTCCTGCCATTTGAATGGGCACGGAGGCCGTCAGCCTCCATTTTACTGTGAGGCACCCAGAGTTGAAAACTTTATTTAAAAGATTTATTTATTTATTTTGAGAGAGAGAGAGCACACGCGTGCATCGTGTGAGTGGGGGGCGGTGGGGGGGCAGAAGGAGAGAGAGAATCTCAAGCAGACTCTCTGCTCCTGCATAGCCTGCTGTGGGCTCCATCCCAGGACCCCGAGATCATGACCTGAGCCGAAACCAGGAGTCAGACACTCAACCAACTGCGCCCCTCAGGTGCCCCGAAAACCTCATTTAAATGAACCAGTGTTCCCACCCACCCCAAAGAGAACTCAAGTCACAGGCATCTAGTCCTAGGCCAGGGGAATCTCTGGCTTTTCCAAACAAACACAGAAAAGGAGAACACTTTCTTAATTCTCTGAATTCTAAAAAGATACGTTTAATGAGAGGTGAGGGAAAGACAGTGTGACAAAGGCAGACCGAGCTTGGCAAACAGAGGGCCATGTGCTCTGTCACCCATGGGGCCCAGTCTTGGGAACGTGGGCTTTGTGCTCTCCTGTGGCGACTGTCAGGGTAACTATGCTCGTAGGAACGCCGGTAGGAGCCCTGACACTTCTTGAGAACTTACTGCGTACCCGGCCCTCCGCTGCGTGCTTTGCCAGCAGGAGCCCCTCCACGCCATTTCCTCCCCCCTCCCCAAATCCTGTCGTGACCCACTTGTTGGTGGTGTCAGGCACACGCAGAAAAGCGATCTGGGGCAGCATATTGGCCTCCTAGGGCTGCTGCAACAAACACCACAGGCTCAAGTTTCTTTGCTCACAGCTCTGGAGGCTGGACGTCCAAGATCAAGTGCCATCAGGGCTGGTTTCTCCTGAGGCTTCTCTCCTTGGCTTGCGGGTGACTGCCTTCTCCCTGGGTCCTCTCGTGGCCTTCCCTCTGTACACCCTACCCTTCGTGTCCGAGTGTCCAAATTTCCTCTTCTGATAAGGACACCAGTCAGATTGGATTAGGACCCACCCTCAGGGCCTCATTTTACTTCAGCGACCTCTTTAAAGGCCCCATCTCCACACACAGTCACAGTCTGAGGTACTAGGGGGGTGCGACTGAATATACGAATCTGAGGGGGGATGCAATTCAGCTCATAACAGGCAGTATTTCCTTTACCATAATCTTGAATATATATGTGATTAAGAGCTTTGAATAATGTAAGAAGCTCCATCTCTCAAGCTTGAGCTGCCCTCACGATCCAGTTTATCTTCAGATAAATAGGTCATATTTACAGCCTCCAGACTCCTGAAAATATGTGAAGCCCCTTCCATTTTAAGAATTCGAAGCAGCTTCCTGGTGAGCCTCTCCCTAGTATCATTAAAAACTGAATTCTGGGCCCAGAATTTCCCCGCGGTCACCACCGCTGTGGTGTCAGAATATGGAGGATCTTGTCCAACAACGCTCGGGACACAAGAGATCCATGACTCCCATCGGCAGATGTTCCCCGCACACCCGCTGGGCCTCAGGAACCTGTGCCTCCCACGGACGGTTCGGGCGTGGGAAGGAGAAGGGCTCACACCGCCTCCCAGAGAGGTGACGGAAGTCCGCAGAGTCCGCGACCACCGGGAGCTGCCAACAGACGGACTGCACCCCCAACTGCAATCCCACTCCCCGACACAGCGTCCCTGCTCCCTTTGAGAACATGGAAAACCCTAAAATGAATAGATAATAGAGGATTCTGTATAACATGTAGAAAGAGGCATTTAGGTTAATTTAAAGGAACCATGAGTCCTTTTCTCTATAATCAGAAGTAAAATTAAGTCCTCTCACTGCCCCCCCCCCCAGCTCTTTGAAATAACTATGGCTCCCATTGTCCGCACCAGGAACCCCTTGAAGGAGCTTTGCTGTCCCCACATAACCCTGGATATGGGAGACTGGGGGGTCTATCTCCATGAAGGCTCATGGAGGTGCTCAAAGAGGCCTGGGGAGTATCATTTTAGGGGGCTTGTACTTATTTGAAGCTCTGTATGCACCTTACATTCTGAGAAACAGGCATGTTATACCCATTTTTGAAGTAAGGCATCAAGGTTCAGAGGATCCCAATCAAATGCAGGTAGCAGGGCTGGGATTTGAACCCAGGGCTGTTTGGTTCCAAATCCCATAAGCTTTGCACTGTATCTCACTGCAGGATACCCAGAGATGAGGGGGTCCCAGCCTTCTGCACATCAGAAAGTTCCAGGGAGCTTTTAACATTCCCAGTGTTGGGGCGCCTGGATGGCTCAGTCCATTGAGCGTCTGTCTGTGGCTCAGGTCACGATCTCAGGGTCCAGTCTGGCTCTGTGCTCAGTGGGGAGCCTGCTTCTCCCTCTCCCTCTCTCACTCACTCTCAAATTTAAAAAATCTTAAAAAAAAAAAAAAGTAAGATTCCCAGTATTGAGCCCCACCCCCAGAGACTGATTCAACCCACCTGGGGTGGGTGCCCGATCACCCAGAGTCTAAACAGTCCCCAGGGAATTCGAATGAGTAGCCAAGGCAGAGAACAACTGCCTTCCAACAAAAGCACGAGGGAAGGTCAAAGCTACAAGATGTGCAGTCCATGAGTGAGCGGGAAGTCCTTAACCGAACACTTGCATGTCTACCCCGCCTGGGCGAAAACCCCCGTCCTGGCACGGGCCTGTGTGAGAGATGAGGCCAAACCTTCTGTCCCCCCCCCTCCCCCCACTGCCCAGACCACACAGCCCCTCAAGACAGCGAATCAGGGCTTGGCTTCCATCTCTGAAAGCACAGCCATGGACTAGCTCACATGTGCGGGGCGCTGGCCTGAATTTTGGAAAGGACACAAAAAAAGACTACTTGTTCCTGTCCTGTTCTTTCCGCCTGGCTGGGGAGGCAGAGCTCAGCTAAAGAAAAAAAAAAAGGGTTACAAAAAAAAAGGACAAATATATTCCATTATATGATAAGAACCGAGCGAGTGATCTTCCCAGAAGGGCTGAGTAATCTGGCAGGGCCTCCAGGAGGGGGCGAGACTTTGGAGCGGAACCCCATTGGAAGTCGTCAGGGGGCGTGGCCATCTAAGGGCGTGGTGGCGCAGGTGACCCGGTGGGTTGGGGCAGACTTGGGCTGTCACTCTCGCAGCTCCCGGGGCCATCGGAGGCGTGGGGGCAGGGAAGCCGCTGGAGGAAGATTCGCTGCGTGTGTACCCGCTTCGCTTGGTCGGAGGGTCCCCTCCGGAGGGCCCTCCAGAGCCACGCGCTGGGCCCGAGTGGCGGGTGGGGCCTGGGCAGGAAAAGACCGCTGTCGCTCTCAAGGACCCGGTGCTGAGAGCCCGCTCTGAAAGCCCTCGCCGCCACTCACACTCACCAGGGCGGGGGCTGCGCGGGCCCAGGAGGGGACGTGTGGTTTCTCTGCCCGGCGCTAACGCACTACTTCAAACTCCCCCTTTTCCACCCGCCGGCAGGGCTGAGGGTGGAGCACGCCAGTCCGCCCCCCCACGACCCCCCCACCCCCCGGCTCTGGCCCCGGCGGGGGGAGGCGCCGGCCACCCTCTGCTTCCCCAAGGCGCGTCTTTGGTGCCAACAAGGGCGGCCCCTGGGCCTTCTTCACTGGGTTGCCCCCCCCCACACACAGCTTGAGCTCTGCTGCCCTCCCCTCCCTTCCCCTCCCCTCCCTTCCCGTCTCCCTGCACGGGGAGACCTTCCCGAGGCAGCTGGCTTTCTCATGCTGACTCTGCCTTCAAATACCCGGGGGCTGGCCCTGTTCTGCCTTGGGTCCCTGGCCCTGACCGATCCAGGATCCAGCGCTGAACCTGCCAGGCCAGTAATCAGATCTGCTCGCCTGGGAATTCAAGAGGTGGCAGGGAGAGACCCAGAGTCCCCAGGGGCGCCCTGCACCTGCAAGGGCCTGGACTCCCCTGGCCTTAAGCCAGCCAGAGTCCTTTCCTGCTGGTTTGCATTCAAGAGACTCAGCTACTCCTGCTGGTCCTTCCCCACCAGCCCATCTCTCCCTTTTGGGCTCACCTGCCTCCTGGCCTGGCCTGGCCTCCAGACTCAGCCCTTCCAGCCCTGGGTGAAGGCAGTCAGCAGCTTGGGTCACCGCACTGAGCGCCCCTGTTCCTGGACACTCGAAGATGGGTAGAGGACCGCGAAACTTGTCTCGAACTGAGCCACATTCTGTGTTGAAAGGCCAAGCAGCATGCTCCGTGCTCACCGGAGTCCCTGCGGATCGGCCCTCCTCCCGGGCCCTGTCACCTGGTCTCTCCAGGGCTGCTCTGCCCCCCTCCCCGCACCCCTCCCCACCACCATTCCCACGCCACCCCTGCCCTCCACTTTGCCCTTTGCAAACACTCTCTGGCTTCCTGGAAACAAGGAGGCCTTCTAACCAGAATTTCTCAACTTCCTCCTCTCCCTGGTGGGGTCAGTGGTCTGCATTTTCCTCTCTCCCTGGGTCCCCATCTGTTTTTTAGAGCTAGGTCATCCAGGCTGACTGCACTTTGAATCCCTTCCCTTTGTTCCTCCTCCTGGGCCCTGGTCAACCACTAGCCACTTTCTTGCCTTATCAGTGATACTAACCCCCCACTGCCCCCAAACACAGACTCTTTTCCTTTATCCTTAAGTCTCCCCAGGCCCCTGCCATCCCCTCTGGTGACCGTCTTAACTCACTCCTTCCCCGGTCCCCAAACCCCCTGTCTTCACACCTGCATCTCCCCTGGGCCCCAGCTCCCGCCCTGGGGCTTCGGCCTCCACCCACCTCCTGCAGGGAGGCTGGGAAGAGGCTGGCTACCAACCCTCCCCTTCCGGGACTGGGCATGGTCACCCTCCTTCCCATCTTTTAGGCAGTGATATTCTCACGCCTGCTTCTCTGAGCTTCCCTAGTGCTGTGTCTCTTTCTGGGTCTCTCTCCCTCTCTCTCTTCCTGTCCTCATTTGTGACCCCATTCAGGACCGGAGCTGCAGCTCGTGAATGGGACTCGAATCCGGTCCGGCTCAGACCAGCCGGGAAGACGAAATCCTGGTTGGCTGGCCGGACTAGCAGCTGGGTCTGCTAAGCTGTCGAATACCAGGGTGAGCTGCTGCCGGGACCGCTGTTGCTGCCGCCTTGGGGACCCTCGGTGACAACAAAAGCAACGTGAAGAAAGCAGACTGGGGACAGAGGAGGAGACAGGTGAATCGGACTCCAGCCCTTGCGAATCTGGATCTGGCCATGCGTACAGGACCTGCCCTTAGGCTTTTCAGCAGTGGGGGCTGACGCGGACCCACTTGTGCGTAAGCTGGTCTCGCTGGATTGTTTGTCACTTGCTGTCAAAGTAGGCACCTCAAGCAAGACTGAGGCCACTTGGTCCAGGACCCACCAGGCCGGGTCCTCCTCGTCTGGCCTCCCTGGCTTCATTCCTGGCACCGTGTCCTCTGTCTGTCAACAACTCTGACATGCCGACTCCTCCCACTTGAGCGTCCCTCACACGTGGTGGCAGGTTTCATCTCTGCATTGTTTCGGTGATTTCCTCGCTGGCTTCCCTGTCCCCGCTCAACCCTCCGCTCTGCAGCTTGGATGTTTCTAGAGCACAGCCCTGAGGCACCAGCTGAGACGCACAACGGCCTTCCCCAGTCTGCCTTTGACCAGAATCTAGGTCCGTTATCCAAACCCTGCTCACTCCCGCATTCATTCCCTGTGTGGGTTTCACTGTCCTCGCTGTGGGTCAAGGAGCGAGCCCACCTACCGTCAGCCAGTAGCCCACCCCCCTCTGGCGGGCCCCGCAGCCTGCACTCAGGCCTCCCTGCACTGTCCCCGGCCTCCCTGGCTGCCTCACCCACCGCCAGTCTGCTGAAACCCTCCCAAGTGCCAGTCTGCGGGACGTCTGGGTCCCCAGCCAGAAGAGTCCCCCCTGCCTATGAGCACCCACAGTGCCCTGCGCTCTGGCACCGTTTGACAACACCGTTCTTTTCCCAGGGCCACTTGCCTACATCTTTCCCTCCTAGACTTCTGGAGAGCAGGGTCTGCGTCTCCCTCGCCTTGGGATCCCCTACCAGTACCTGCCCCTCCTGGGTGCTCGCAGGTACTTGCTGAGTGAACGAAGGAATGGCCATGCCCGAGCACGATGCCTCCTGAGTTCCAGCTCCCCTCCCCACCCCCCATTAAATAAGAAATTAAACAAAAAAAAAGACAAGACAATGCAGGGGAGGGAGGGATGAATAGGTGGAACGCAGAGGGTTTCTCAGGCAGCGAAACTACCCTGGGTGATACCATCATGGTGGGTACATGTCCTTATACCTTCGCCCACACCCACAGAATGTACAACCCCAGGAGTGAGTTTTAGGGTCAACGATGGACTCTGGGTGATGATGACCGGTCAGGTAGGTTCATCCTCTGTAACAACTTCCAGCTCTGGGATGCCTGGGTGTTAAGCGTCTGCCTTCGGCTCGGGTCAGGATCCCGGGGTCCTGGGATCGCGCCCCGCTTCGGGCTCCCAGCTCGGCGGGAAGCCTGCTTCTCCCTCTCCCTCTGCCGCTCGCCCTGCTCGTGTGCTCTCTCTCTCTGACAAATAAATAAATGAAATCTTAAACCAAAAAAAGCACCTTCCAGCTCTGGCTGGGTGTAGATGCTGGGGGAGGCTGGGAGTGTGGGGACAGAGGGCATATGGCAAATCTCTGCACCTTGCTGTTCTGCTGTGAACCTAAAACTGCTCTGAAAAATAGTCTTATTCTAAATTTAGTGATTCATCGTTTACATATAACACCCAGTGTTCGTCATAGCAAGTGCTGTCCTTAAAAAAAAAAAATGAAGTCTTAAAAAAAAAGATAGTATATAACAGGGAAATTGGCATGGTGTAATTCAAATAAAATAATTATTTTTTTAAATATTTCCTTTTGTATTTACTCCCATATCCTCCTCCATCCACTTCTGCTCACACCCTCCCTGGCTTTTGCTTTCACTGTTCCTTTCACGCTGACAGGGCCCCTCTCTCACTCCGGGGCAAAACCTCCCCTTCTCCCTCCCCACACCTCACAGACCAGCCTCACCTCTCCCCTGCAGCATCCAAACTCTGGCAGTCAGCACTTATCTCAGGTGAAGGACGGCTGGGCTGCCGCCCTGGTACCAGGGAGCCGAGAAAGAAAGGCAGGTGGGAATGATCTGGAAGATTCCGGAAGGATATGGGCAAGGCAGGGGCGGGGCAGTTCTGTTGGCTCGTAGGGCCCCTTGTGGGTCCCAGAGCTGGGTCCACACTGCACAAGTCAGAGTTCTGTGCTTTCACCAAGAGCTCGGGGCAGGGCTTGGCACGGACCTCGTGTGGTGAGCATGGGAAGGCCAACCCACCATTAGCGCTGGCTTGACGGAGCCTCACTGGTTCTGATCATGAGACTCGATACCACTCTCAGGAGAGCAGCAAATACAACTGTGTGCAGACCAGGACGAGCAACTAAGCCCTGGGCTTGAGGTTAGTGAGGGGGCGGCAGCCCCCAGGAACTCCGTGGCCAGGCCTGAGACACCGAGGGGGCGCTGTGACCCATGGAAACACCCAGGCTGGGTTCTGGACCTCCAAGACAAGAGAACGGAGCAGTGTTCCGTTACCAGCAGGGCCACTAGGCAGTACTTAGGAACTTGGGAGGGATGACCTCTGGGCTGGGGGGCTGAGGCCGGGGCCGCTTCCTGGGAGCGCATCCAGCCCAGTCATACAGCTCAGTGCTCGGAGTTCAGTGCTCTGAGGTGCCATCTTGAAATTCTTTATGATTTTATCTTTGAACTGGGCTTTGGGAGTGAAGTCCAATGGGACAATGGAGCATGTGTTGGGGGCTTGGGGGCTTGGAGGTTTGGCTCATGTGTGGTCCTGCTTTCCTCCGCCTCCTACCCTCCTGGAATGGGGTCTCGGCTGCCTGCCTCCCCCACTTCCCAGGTGGAGGACTGGGGGCAGATGCGGGGAAGCTCGGTGTGTATGCTCCTCCTGCTGGGGTGCTGGGGTGTGGGTGCGGTCTCAGGCGCCTGTGGGCACCTCCCCACGAGGACCCCCCCTGCCTGACACAGTGCGGCCTTAAATAGCAACTAGGAAACACCATGGAGGGCGCGGGTGGCGGAGAGAAGGAAAAAGGTCCTTTCCTGCTTCTTGAAGCAGGCTCTACATTTTCATTTTGCACCAGATCCCCATCCCAGCCACCAGCCCTGGCTGAGAGAGAAGGAGGTACCAGAAGACAGGGCGGCCCAAGGTTCCAGGCAGGTGAGTCAGGTGGATGTACCTGTTCCCAGGACACGGCGCCAAAGCCGAACCCTGGAACAGCTTCTTAGAGGTTCCCTTCCTGGGGGCTGGGCTATGGCCCCAGGCTGGGCTGGGGTCCCTGTGTCCACACGGGCTGGTGAGGAGCTACACAGGCTAGAAAAAGAGGCCCATTGGGGGTGCTCGAAGGAAGGTTCCAGTGCATTTCCTAGATTTCAAGAGCGCATATTTGCAAACAGTTTGCCTTAATGTGAGCCTGAGGGGCAGCCAGAGCCTGGGACCGTCTTTGATTTCTGGAGCCCTGATTTTCAAACTTTCCTAGGCTTCAGAATCCTCAGGGGATTTGCTAAAAATGCATATGGCCGGGTCCTACCTCCTGAGATCCTGAATCAGTAGGTCGGACATTGAATTTTTAACAAGCAATCCAGAAATTTCTCCTTAGTGGTTGGGTAATGCGGGTGCAGGGACCCACACTGAGGTGCCTGGCAGGATGGAGAAGAAAGCATCCGTCCGTCCGTCCGTCCGTCCAGGATGGCCTGCCCCAGCAGACACCTCGTGGTGCAGAGAATAGCCGTCCCCACAGAGCCCGGCCCAAAGGGCCCGACCCTGACCCTACGTCCTGGTGGCGTTTGCTTTTCGGTGAAAGAGCGGGAAGAGGTAGAAATGCGTGGAGTGACCGTGAGGACACCGGGATGGCACTCACGTCACATCTGTGTTCCTGGTGTTCGGGGGACAATGCGCACCATCACAAGCACCCCACGACAGCTGCGATCTCTCTTAGGGTTTTTCTGGCGGGTGATGGCAACCTAACAAGGCCAGCAACGAGCTGGCCTGCAGGCAAATCATTTCAGCCCCTGTCTCGGCTCTGAGACGGCAAGGACTGTTTTTCCTCCCCAGCTCCCTGGTGTGGGTGACGACGAGGAGAAGAGCACAGGAGCACCGCAGTGTGCACATGGCTGCATAAACACATCCCGGACGAGGAAGGAAAAATAAGTGGGGCCCCCTAAAACGGCAGTATTCAATGAATACAAATAGTACCTAAGCAGCGAGATGACTGCTTTAATTTTTTTCTTCCTGTTGTCCTGTGGCTCCCCAATTTTCTGCACTGAGCAGCTATTACTTTGATTTCAAAGCCCCAGCCGGGAGCTGCCCGGGGGGGACGCGGACAGGGGGCTGGAGAGCAGCCAGCCGCCCCCCTCCTGCCCCCCCCCCACCTCCTGGGCCCACAGTATCAATTCCTGCCCCGACAGCCAGGCCGGCTCTGGGCAGGGGACAGCGAGGACCAGACACGTTCCTGCCGCCTTTGGCTGTGGCTTCTTTCCCTAAAAGTAAAACGGGACAGGATAGCCCGCTGGTTTCTTAGTTAGGACCCTGACATTGGCAGCCTAGAATCCGAGTGGACTGTTCTGTTGTTGCTAAAGAACAACCTTCAATTTTCAGTTTAAAATAAACCCGGTCGCCCTTTCCGGTTCGCGGCCTCCTGGGGAGTTGCTGGGGGGACGGGTGGTGAGGGGGTTGGTGCTGGGAAAGGAAAGGCCCCGGGCTGCTTGTCGCCCAGGCTGGGAGCGGGGAGCTGGCTGGCCGGGGCACGCTGGAGTCTTCTTCTTGCTTCTTGGCCCCTTCAGGGAGCCGTGGGCATCCATGAGTAGGACAGAAATGCAGAAACTCCAGAGCAGATTTTGGGGTGGCTTGTGTGTTCAGGCTTATGTGTACCCATCACGCAGCGGAAGCAGGGACTGGGGGCACTGAGGCCAGAAGGGTCCAGAATCCAAACACTCTAAATCCCATCTGGGCTCCGCCTCCCTCCTCCTGAGGTGGTTTCTTTCTTTTGAGCGTGAGCCCCCAGCTGTGTCTGCAGGGCAGGGCAGGGCCATCTTCTCGGGGACCCAGCTTCGGGCTCTGGCCAGGCCGCTCACACTTCAGTGTGCACCCAATTCCCCAGGGCTCTTGCTGCCAGGTGGAGGCTGACTCCGGGGTCTGTGGGCCTGAGGGGCTCCTTGTTGCGAGGTAGCGAGGGATCGACCTCATCGCGGGTCTGAGGTCTGCACTCCGCCCCCAGCAGGCCCCGGGGGGAGGCAGACCCCAGCCTCCACTGCAGCAGCGGAGGCTGTGAGGGGGGCCCTTCCTAAGGTGCTGTGTGGTGTGAAGGAGGAGCTCGAGGTGCCTCCCTCCCAGCAACTCCACTGGGGGGACGTCTGCTGCGTACCAAGGCCCGGTGGCGTCCCAGGCCACTGTGAGGCCTGTGGCGTGGAGTGGCCCGGTGACTGCACCACAGAGCTTTCTGGGCCCATTAGGGTGGTTGGACGAAGTCGGGCCCCCACCGGGCCCCAATGTTTCCCCAGCCTCGGGCAGCAGAGCAGGGTGGCCCAGGGGCAGGTGGGGGGCCCCCAGGACTCTCTTGGGGCCCTTCCTCTTCCTTCAGTCAAACTCGAGAAGGCCAGGTGGCTGAGAGAGCGAGAGACGTGTGCGCTCTGCGGCCCTGGGCTGACTTGGGACCCTGGGGACTGAGTGTGTGCAGAGCGGGTCAGGGATCGGGCCTGCCCTCCCGAGAGCTCCTTCCCTGCTTGTCCGGCTCCCCTTCCTCCAGGGAGCCAGCAGGGGCTGGAAGCTCGGTCATCCCCCGCAAAACCCTTGGCAGGCTGCTCCCCACAACATCTGTGGAATGAAGGTGCCCTGCGGACCTTCTGCCCCCTTGCCTCCCTGGCGACCGACGCAGAGGTCTTGTGAGGACTCTCCTGCTACGCTTACTTGGTAGCAGGTGCCGTTCCGAGCTCTTCTAGTCTGCACGGCAATCCCACAAGGCAGGTCATTATTCTTATCCCCTTTCTTAGGGATGGGGAAACTGAGGCACGTGGTCATTCACTAGGCCTAAGAGACAGAGCTGGAATTTGCACACCGCCGGCTTGCCCTGCGACCTGGCTCTTGGCCATTTCTCTTCCCTGCCCCTCTGACATGGGGGTTAGACAGCTAGCTGTGTCTTCAGGCAGAGGGACCTGACTTCTGGGACCCCTCCCCCAGGGGCTGGGGGCTCCCCTCCCTGTGCTACCCGGATAAATTCCATGCAGTCAGGCTTGTCCCCCGTCCAAGCTCCCACTTAGCAGGCTCTTGGGACACGTGTGTTGATGAAATTCTCTTTCAAACATGAGATGTTCTTTCCACTTCTCTGAGGTCCCTAGAGGGGTCACATTCACAGAGACAGTAAAACGGTGGCTGCCAGGGGCTGGGGGAGGGGAGAGGGGGAGTTGGGGTTTGATCGGGGACCGTTTCAGTCTGGGAAGATGCAACGTGATGAGGCGGATGGTGGTGGTGTTTGCACGACGATGCGAACGCACTTAATACCCCTGGCCCGTATGCTTGGAAACGGAGAAGAAAGTACATTTTCTGTTGTGTTTGATCACACACACAGTAACGCGTGCTCTTCTAGCTTGAGATCCAGGGCAAGAGGCAAGTACTCCTTGATGTCATTTCTGGAGTGGGGGGGGAGGGGAGAGGAGACAGTAACAAGTGCCCTGCTTGGACCCCAATCCTCAAGGCACAGAGGGGCTGATGGTCGCCCCGCGGGTCAGGAGCACCGAACTCGGAGTCAAGTGCGTCAAGGTCAAGCCCAGACAGACCCACTGGGCAGAGCCGGTCGGGGATTGGGCCTGCCCTCCAGAGAGCTCCTTCCCTCTTCCAGGAGTGGCCAAATCAGATAATCAGATACCATAGGAGGGAGCGACCGGCACCAGGGGCGAGCGACGCGTCCACGTGCATCTGTGACCGCGGACTCAGTCTCTCCCGGGAGAGCCATCGGGACTTGAGGGCATGGCCCTTTGCATTAGCATCCCCTCGGCCCATCAAAGCTGGTTTTGCTCGGGCAGAGCCCCGGGGCTACAGTCAGAGCTTGACATCCTAAGGCCCCCCTCCCTGTTGGGGAACCGGCCCACCGAGGACAGCTGAGGACCCCGCGTCTGGTGCCCCCGCCTTTTGGCACGGCCTCCTGTTCTTTCCTCGCTCCGGACAGCAGCGTGCCCCGCGGGGTACAGGCAGGAAGGGCGCCGGGCCAGGGGAGCGTGAGCGGCGGGTGTCGGGGTGCCGGGGGCACGCCCGGAAATCACGCTGGCCAGGAGGCCGCAGTCTTTTTGGGGACCCACCGCAGAAAGACCTGTGTGGTCCTGGTCACAGGGACAGGAGAACCCGCTTCCCAGAAATGGGGTGCTTATGCGGTGTGGATGGAAAGAATTAAGGATTTTTTTCTTTTTTCTTCATTTCCTCTACCAAGGTTAATTTTCAGGACTGAAGCCCCCTCTTTTACTTTTATTTTTATAACTAATTTTTTAATTTAATTCCAGTACAGTTAATATATAGTGTATGTTAGTTTCAGGTGTACGATGTAGCGATTCAATACTTCCACACGTCAGCCGGTGCCCACCACGACAAGTGGGCTCCTCCATCCTCAGCACCCAGCCCCCACCCACCTCCCCTCTGATAACCACCTGTTTGTTCTCCAGAGTGAAGAGTCTGTGTCTTGGTTTGCCTCTCTCTCTTTCTCCTTTGCTTGTTTCTTAAATTCCACATATGAGTGACATTGTATGGTATTTGTCTTTCTCTGACTGACTTACTTTGCTTAGTATGATACTCTCTAGTTCTATCCATGTTGTTGTAAGTGGAAAGCTTCCTTTATTTATGGCTGAATAATATTCCGATATATCTTCTTTATCGATTCATCTGTCGATGGACTTGTGAAGCCTCCTCTTTTAAAAGTGAATCCTGGGGGCGCCTGGGTGGCTCAGTCAGTTAAGCGTCTGCCTTTGGCTCGGGTCATGATCCCAGGGTCTTGAGATCGAGTCCCACATTGGGCTCCCTGCTCAGCGGGGAGCCTGCTTCTTCCTCTCCTTCTGCCCCACCCCCCACTCGTGCTCTCTCTCAAATAAATGAGACCTTTATTTAAAAAAAGTGAATTCTGAACGTCTGGACATCACAGCTCAGCTCTGAGCCCATGTGTTCTGGGTGGACTCTCCAAGCTTCGACTTCTCTGTAGCTGCGGGATCTGACGGGTCGTCCAATGCTGTCAGCTCCCCTTGAAAATATACCCGGACCCCAACCTTTCTTCAACGTCTCCACCTCACCACTCTGCTCCAAGCCGCTACCACGTAGGGCCTACATCAGTGTGACTGCCTCTTGGTGGCCTCCCTGGGTCCACCCTTGTCCCATCATCCCACAGTCCACATGCTGCCCGCAAGCCCCGCTGCCCCACCCCCTGCTCATCCCACCCCAGTCACAGGGCTTCTGCAGGGCCCGGCAGCCTCCCCCAACGCCTTGCTCTCCAGGGGCCCTCCCCAGACACCTGCGTGGGTGACTTCTTGCTGTTTGCTGTCCTGAGACCTCCCTGGTCACCATCCCTCCTGGCCCCACTCCCCCATGGCCTCCTCTTCCCCTCGGACTTTCGCTAACTCTGCATCCTCCTCGGCTAGTCTGTGTATTGTCTGCCACTGTTAAAACCCAAGTTCCACATGGAAAGAGATCGGTTTTGTTCCTGCTGTATTCCCCGTGCCCAGGTCAGTGCCGGGCATACAGTGGCTGCCCAGGAAACAACTTTGTTGAATAAATGCATAATCAATGTTCACCGGATCCCGGGAAGGGACGGACAGCTAAAACACTCAGGCCTCAGCCACGTTTGGACAGCTACAAAAGTGAAACTGATTTTATTTTTAAGGATTTTATTTATTTATTTGGGAGAGAGCAATAGAGAGCACAACTGGGGGGCGGGGGTAGCTGCAGAGGGAGAGGGAGAAGCAGGCTTCCCGCTGAGCGGGGAGCCCAATGTGGGGCTCGATCCCAGGACCCCGGGATCGTGACCTGAGCTGAAGGCAGATGCTTAACCGACTGAGCCATCCAGGCGCCCCTGTGAAACTGATAGTAAACTAAGTTCCTTTCATTCCCCCGTCCAATACGGAAAGTAAACGTCCAGGAGTGGGTTGAAACACGAGGAGCTGGGCCTCTGGCTACGACAGCCTTTGGTATATACCTGAATCTCTACCTGTGCTGGACCAGGACTCTTTGAAGACACAACAGAAGAGAAAACCCACACCCAACTTTTTTCCTAATAGACTATGGTTAAGTGAAACTCATTATATAAATTTCTATGGGAGCCAAAAAATAAACTCTGTCAAAAATGTCCAGTCTG